ATTATTGATGATAGCCAAGATGTAGGAACAACCTGAGTGTACAGTAACAGAGATGAGGCAAAGAAAACTAGTAAAGTATATACATGTAGTGAAATATCATTTGACCTTTAAAAAGAAGGAAATCCTGAAGCATGATTGTGGTGGTGCACATTGTAATCCCAGCACTCTGGGATGAGGCTGAGGCAGCGGTATCACAGGTTTGAGCCCAGCATGGGCAACTTAATCAGACTTCGTTTGAAAATAAAAGATTAAAAAGAGCTTGGGATGTAACTGTAGTATGCAATAGTATGATAACCCTTGAGGATATTATGCTGAGTGAAATAAACCAGTCACTGAACAAAAAGTCCTACATGATTTCACTTTTATCAACAGGTGTTTAAAGGAGTTAGGCTCATAGAAACAAAGAATAGATGGTGGCTACAGGGGCTGAGAGGGGCCAATCTGATCATCAGGTATCACATTTCATTTATATAAGATGAGTAAGTTATCGAGGTTTGCTGTACAACATTGTGCCTACCACCGTGTGTAGAGAACACTAATGTATCATACAGTAAGAAATCAGTTAAAGGGGATAGATTTCATGTGAATTTTACTACCACAATTAAGTATATAAAGTAAATCTGGTGAATCTTAATACTGATTATTTTTGAGGGGTTAATTATGGGGATAAGAGGAGAGAGGCATTTGGGACCCTGGTAATATTATTTGTGTTAATCTTAGTAGTTTACTAGTTAATCTAGTACTTAGTACTTAGTACTACTTCTTTAACACTTTAGAGTATTGCTCTTCATTATACTTCAAAATTAAGGTATTTTTGAAAAAAGAACTAAAGCTGGGACTAGGGCCAAAAGTCATTGAAGGCCTGGGATTCAATCCCAGCACCAAACAAAAGTTTTCTCCTATGTATACCTACCATATTTTTACTTACTTATTTTTTTTTTTTCCCCCGGAACCAGGGATTGAACTCAGGCCCTTGCGCTTGCCAGGGAAGCGCTTATTCTACTGAGCCATCTCCCCGGCCCTACTTACTTATTTTTATAATAAGACTATTATTTTTAAGAGCAGTTTATTTCACAGCAGAATAAAGAGAATGATAATGAAGAGATCTCATAATCTCATATTCAGTATCTCGTAATCAATGTTCTTATACATGTTTATAGTTTTATAGCCTTAAAAATCCTCTATGTTTTGTGGACTATTATTATTATTATTATTATTATTTTTTTTTTGCGGAACCTGGGATTGAACTCAGGCCCTTGCGCTTGCCAGAGAAGCGCTTATTCCACTGAGCCATCCCCCCGGCCCACATATTTTTATAGGAAACTTTTTTTTTTTTGGTCCCACTCAGGATGCTTTAAGTGCATGTCTGGTAAGTCATGAGGATCTGGGGATCGAACCACAGAATTCTGAGCCTGAGTGCTTTGCTTACGCAGGCACTTTAGACAACTGAGCTAGTGGGCAGGCCCCCAGGAAACTGTTATTGGACTTTTATGTTGTTTCTTTTTGTCTAAATTGTTGTGGCTACCATTTTGTATAGGCCTATACTTTTTTTAAAGATAAGTTGTTATAATTTACATGATGTCCACCATTATATACTACTCTTTGCTGTTATGTGTTAGTAAATATTCTCCAAAAATGTATAGTCCAATTTCTATCCAATAAATTTCAAAAAGTGCTACTTGGATAGGTGAAAAATTACATCTTTTATCACTGTTTTAGGTACTCATTTTTGGGGGTGACCTAGATTTTTTTCTTTGAAATAGCTGCACTTTTTGCTTATTTGCCTATGGGGGGTGTTAATTTTAATTTTCTAAGTGATTACAGGATATCTATATAAGTAAATTATTTATTGCTCTTGTATTTGTCCTTAAAACTTAATTTGAATATTCTGAAGTTTAATTTTTTTTTATCTAATCTGTTTCTACATTTGCTGTCTTGCTTTATCTTTGATGAATTTTGTGTTTTATTTTTAGTAGTTTTATTTTTTCATACTTTTTATCTGTAGTATATTTTGGTATGTAATATAAAATAGCATTTACCTTTTACTTTTTTTTTTTTAATTTTATTTATTTATTTGTGTATGTGTGTGTGGCCAGCTCAGCCCACCAGGGGGCGGGGCTGGCTGGCGTGTGGTGCTGGGGGATTGAACCGCGGTCCCTGTGCTTTGCTAAGCTTATTCTAAGTAGGTGCTTTAGAACACTGAGCCATCTCACCAGCCCTACCTTTTACTTTTAATAGCTACTTTATTGAGTTACCACTTTCCCATCAATTTGAAGTTCAAACAAACATAGTCCACACATTTTAAGCACTGGTTTTCAAGTGGATGGACTGGGGCTGGGATTTTGCTCAGTGGTGGAGAACTTGCCTAACATGTACAAAGTCCTAGGTTCAATTCCTTGACACTACAAGTAAATAAATTGATAGGTAGGTAGATGGATAACATAAAAAAACAACTAAAAACCACCAGTTTCAAGTAGATGGGATGCTTTTGCCCCCTGGGGAAATTGGTAATATGGAGATAATTTTCATTGTCACATTGTGGATGCTGTTGGCAGTTAGAGGGCAGGAATGCTGCCAGCATCCTGTAATGCACATGACAATGCCCACTGCAGAGCATTATTTGTCCAAAAATGTGAGTACTACCGAGGCTGACCTACTCTAGAGTCTAGTTAGTACTGGATGGATGGAATCTTTCATTGCTAATAGGATCAAAATGGGGGTATTTGCATTTTTATCTATTTAAATATAATTCTCCTTGGTGGAGGTAGCAGGCAAGAAATGATGCCTGAGCAGGGCAGGATATGAGTAGGTGGGTATTTCAAAGGACTTTCCTTTCCAGAAGTGTTGCAGTCTTAAAAGAGGATTCACCTTTCAGATTGGCTAAAACCTCATAGTTTCAACTGGAAATTTGAATGTGGGAGACTATCTTCTTGTCTCTTGTGAGCCTCATTGGTGGTTCCTACTTCACCCTTTGTGTCATTTTGGTTTTTGCTTATGAAGAATAAAAGTAAAAAAAAGAATAAAAGTACAAGATAGATATATATCTTATATATCTATATCTATATCTGTTTACCTTTTGCTTTTATATGTATAAATGTATGTTTTTAGGTTTACACATTTTTGCTACATACCTGAGAGTAGAGGGGTGGGACCTACTGCTAATCTTTCTTTAATTTAATTCCTTCCCCATCCCTTTACATGTTTGTCCTTTCATATTTCCAGGCATTTTTCTTTCTCCCTGCCACTCACAGATACTGTATATCCAAGGTGACCTTGAAATTACCAAGCTCAGGGGATGGGCTATGGAGTTTCTGCTTGCCCCTTCTTTGTTCTGCTGAAGAATGCAGCTAGCTTTATGCTTCCCCTTATGTTCCTTCAAAATAACAATAGAAGGAAAGTTACATAAAAACCTTGTTTCCTTCTCTGCCCCACCTTCCCACTCAGAATTATTCATTGCTGCCACCACTCCTGCTCTTTCAGGCACACTGGCTTTTTCTCTAGATCATGGTTGGTTCTGCATCCAGAGCCCTCCCCCCATGCCCACTTCTCATCACAAAGGCACTCCAGGGATAACAGAATTTTATTGAGAAATCCAATGAGTTTTCCCAAGGGCAGCCATGTGGAGCCATTCTGTGAAAGTTTCTGAAGTCAGAGAACTATGGAAGGTAACACATGGGGGGGAAGTAGAAACTTCAAAACGTAGAGTAAATAGTACTTTTTGAATATTCATGAGGTGCTAAGCACTGGACTGGCTAGTCTCAGTCCCCACAACTCTGCATGGTTTATGTTTGTTCCATCAGTAAATTAACTTGTTCAAGCTCCTACGCACGTGTTGAGTGAGTGACTAAATCAGGATTCTTAGCTTTGCTCTTTGGTTTTAAAACTTTTGGCTTTCCTACCACATCACATTTCATACCTGATCAGAGCTGACCTTGTGCTCTTGGAGTGACTAATACTCAGTGATGACTCCTCACATTCAGTATATTCAAATGGATTGTCCAGAATTACTGTATGGGGCCAAACACTATAGGACTTGAAGAACATAAAAGGGAAAATTTGGAAGATAGGCTTCTTTGGCAGCAATAAACAGGATCTTAAAAGCTTTGATAACTTCACTAGATCCTCAGAATCCTTTTTGAATAATGCTATGGAACCAGTGTAGTTTAAATTTGCACCCCAGTCTTCAAATTTTAGATCTGGGGATTTTAGAGAGACTTATCCATAAATGAGCTTTTAGTCCTTCTGAAGCACAACTCTCCCACTTCCCCTTCTCATTAAGTTTCCATTTAGCCATTAGGTAGGAACTTCAAAAGGGAAAATCCAATCATGTATAATCTCCAGCTAATGGGCATCTATTGAGCGACTAGGTCACCATAAAGAATAATTACAGTGCCTCTTTGTGAACTAAACACAAAAATCAAAAGATAATGCATTCCCAAAGCAAGCTTGATTGTTAGTGGCTAACAGCATCCTTGACTCCAGGGAAAAGACTGGGACACCCACCACGCTTGAGAGGAGAGATTGCAAAACCTCTCAAAAAACAAGGCTGTCAAGGCGGGAGGAGAAAGGCCAGGACATTTCCGAGACTTTCTCACTTATAATTACTGATTATTGGGTTGAATTACAGAATAGCAGACATTCTAGAAAATGTTTCATGCAATCATTTGGAACTTGGTGGATGTCTGGGGTTTCTTACCACAAGTAAATAATAGTGATGACTGAGGTCTAGCTGCAGCCCTACTCCCATAACTTAGACTGTTTTCTAAGCCTGGCCACCCTTTATAAATGAAGACTATACTTACTTTTGTCCCGCCACAAACTATTGATATGTGAAAGATGAGCATAGTTCTCTTGACTCAAATGGCATGTTAGTCACAAGCCAAAGAGCTCTTGGGGTTGTGTGGATACACTCTAGTTTGGGTTTTCAAAATTAACTCTTGTAGTAATTTAGGATTTGCAAAAGTCGACATAATTTAAATAACCTGTTTTTCCCCCCTTAGAACACTTCAGTTATGGAAGATCAAAATGAAGATGAGTCCCCAAAGAAAAATACTCTTTGGCAGGTAGGAATAATAAGATAGCAATTAACTTACTGTAGATAAGATTCTCCCTCACTTAATGCCCTTGATGAAACCAAGAGCCAAGCTTTTAAAAGTTTTCTTTTGTTCAGTTTTGCTAGTTTTGGAAACTGCCCTAGTTTGTTATCTTTTCCTTAGGGAATTGGTATAACAAATAAATAATTTTGGAGTTTTCACAAAGATTCTGAGTTGGCTGTAGCCTAAAAGGTTCTGTTAGTGGTCAAAGATGGAGAGTGGGCTCATCTTTGATCAACAAAATGGCACCATGCCACACACTGATGTATGTATGCACTGATATTTTCCTCCATTTGTTCCCTATACTCACCATTTTCTCCCATTCTCTATTGCTTTGCCTTTTACTGTTAATCTCAGTCTCCTCTCTTGGCTCTGTTGTAACATACCAATTTCCCTCCCAATCTCCTGGTTGTTTTGGGGGTGGGGGGGTAGGGTGGGAGAAGTATATGATGTTCCATGGTTTATTGTTTTCACAACCATTATCGTGTACATCATTTCCCCCTTTGTGAGGACATGGTTAAAGGTAAATAAAACATACTTAATGTCTAAAAAATGATACAAAAATATGAAAAGTTACAAATTTCATTTGATTTCAAATTAAAAAGGAAGATTACTTAGCAAGAATATCATGCAGCCAACAAATTTAAGATAAAATGAAACAATCTAGGAGGATTTTACTTGGCAGAAATAGAGTATTATTGGTGGTTGGAAATAGTGTTTTTTTATTGAGCATCATATGCAAACTGAATTCTTTACTCTCCTTTATGTTTATTATTTTGCAATAGAATTCTCTTTATTTAGTATTGATTTTTCAGTTCACAGTGATTCTTAACACTTTAGCTTTTAGTTTTTTTCTTCTGCCTTCCAGTCAGCTAGTTAATGGTACAGAATTCCCTAGGGAGGCTAGATAGTTAGGAACCCTTTTGCAAATGAAATAGCCCTTTCACCAATTGAATGAGATAATGGTTTGAAATTACTTTGTAAATTATAAAGCAATAAATAAATGGTACCATAGCTATTACTAGCTTATTTATTTTATTTAGGCACCAAGAATCGAACTCAGGACTTCATGCTTGCCACGCAGGCACTGGCACTGTGCAGCTGAGCTATATCCCCGGTCCCTCATTATATTTAACCTATTATGAAAAGTTATTTTTAACAAACCATCAAAAAAAAAATGGAGAAGAGAACATAAACATTTTCTTTCTCAAGATTAGGCACGTCTGGTGTTTTTTATTTCTATCCTTTTCTTTTTTTAAAAACACAGTGTAGCCCAGGCTGGTTTTGAACTCATGATCCTCCTTCGTCTGCCTTCCAAGTTATGTTATGATAGGTGTGTGCCACCATATGGGGTTTATCCTTTACTTTGTCTTGATTTGCTCTCTTCACAATTATGATGATCATAGTGTTGTATAAAATTCTGACTCTTGCCTTTTGTTCATTATTATTATTATTATTATTTTGCGGAACCAGGGATTGAACTCAGGCCCTTGCGCTTGCCAGGCAAACATTTATTCTACTGAGCTATCTCCTTGGCCCCCTTAATATTTCTTAAGGGTGTTCTCTTATAGTTTTTCTTTGTAAACCAAATTTTAATAGTTACATTGTAGCTTTTCTATGTAGATATGTTATAATTTGCTTCAATGGTTTGTAATTCTCATTTTTCTTAGTTATATCATTGTGATAGGTATAATTACATTTAAAAGCAGTGCAGCAGCCCCTTTTTATACCTCTGATACTCATCATAGCAAAAATTTACTTCAACTGTTTTGAACATTAGTTTTTGGGTCTGTTAGCGAAGTTTAAAAAAAAAGCCGTTTAACACTGCCCTCTGGTGGTACCCTATGTAAGGAGTTCTGCATTACCCAAGGTAACAGGAAAACATTGAACAATTGGTTAGAAAACAAATGCCTTCTGACCTTACCTCTAAATGTGATCTTTAATACTTATGATAAAAACTTTTTAAGATCTTATCAAGGAAAGGCAAACACTCCTCTTGATATTTACAAAGGGTATCTTTTTGGGATGGATTCACTCTAATTTAGGTAGGGACCATACTGGTAACAAAAAGTCTTCATTCTATGTCTGCTAAATTCCTAATGGAAGTGTTAGACATTTGTCATTCAGCTCTTCACTTCTTAAAATTCTCTTATACTGTATGTTATTTCTTCTGGTATTATACACAAGGCTATCAGCGAAATGATGGCAAATATTCAGCAAAAATACAGTATTGAGTATTATATAAAAAACAGTATTATTTTGTTTTAAAGCAGGGAAGTTACTGAGGCTTATAACATCAACAGTACTTGTGATTTGAGAGTAAGGAGTCATATTATTTTTCCATGCTAGTGTCCAGGCGCGGTGTATATGGTCTTTTTTTTTTTTTTTTTTTTAATGTATTAAAAGAGTCTCACTACACAGATTGGACTTGTAGTGATCCTACCTGTTTTTCAGCCTTCCAAGCTCTGGGATTATAGGCGCATGCCACTATGCCCAGTCTCAGCACACCCTGGGAGGTGGGGCCCCCCATGCAGCAGGCTGGGGATCAAATCCTGGTCCCTTTGTCTGCCTAAGCAGGTTCTTTAATCAGCTGAGGAGTCTGGCCAGCCCCCTTTTTTTTTTTTTTTTTTAAAGGTAAGGTCTTGCTATATATGTATAGCCCAGGCTGGGCTTGAATGTATAGCAATCCTTCTGTCTCAGCCTCCTAAGTACTGGAAATACAGGCATGTGCCACCATGGCCAGCTTGTAGTTTTCTCTTCCCTTTCCCCTTTCCCTTCTCTCTCCTCCCCCTTTTCCATCCCCTTCCCTCCCCTCTCCTCCCTTTTCTCTCCTTTGTTTGCTTCCTTCCCCTCGTCCCTCTCTTCTCTTCTGCTAGGCTAGGCTACTCCTTAGTCCTGTAGAATTTTTTTTTTTTTAATACTGTTGTTATGCAAGGGCATGTAAGTTGATTTGATGAGGAGTGTACTGTTTTATAGGAACCTAGGGTTATCCAACAGATTTTTAGGTATACATTTGTTGACTTAGGTTACTTTCTGAAAAGGTGATTGAAAGAAGGGAGAGAAAGTCTAAACTGTTTTGCCAGCAGTTTATTTAATAACCCTAGGAAAAAAAATAGGGTATCAAAAATGTCAGGCAAAATGGAGTTTTTTAGGGGGATAACCCACTCGGACCCCCCTCCTTTCCCTTTCTTGGACAGGAACTTTCTTTTCCCCAATAAAGATATTCTGCTAAAAAATGTAGGTTTTTTTTTTTTTTAGATCAAATTACTTTAGGTTTAAACATAGAACTACTTATCTTGTTAGATAGACACAGAGTTCTCAAATTGCAGTCCCTAATGTGCAGGCAGTCCTTTTTTTTTTTTTTTTTAAATATATTTTTTTTTTGTGGTACAGGGTTTCACTATGTGGATCAAACCTGTAATGATCCTCTTGTTTTTAGCCTCACAAGCACTGGGATTACAGGTGTGCATCACCATGCCCAGTCTCAATTGCTGTCTCAATGCACCCTGGGGGCAGTGTTGGCAAGGCATGCTGGGGATCGATCCCTGGCCCCTGCCCTCTGCCTAAGCAGGACCTTCAGTCTGCTGAGCTATCTGACCAGCCCTTGAGCCAGCAGTCTTGACCAGTGTTGTCATAGCATCTGGAACTTGTTAGAGTTGTAGATTCTCAGGCTCTGAGGCAGACACTCAAAACCAGAACCTCTGGGGTAGAGGTCTGTGTGTTAACAAGCTCTCTGTTATATTTGGTACAGGGTTTCACTACACAGCTCGGGCTCGTAGTGATCCTCCTGTCTTCAGTTCTCTAACGCTGGGATTGCAGGCCAGCTCAGTGTACCCGGGGGGGTGGTGGTGGCATGGGGCATGTAGTGCCAGGGATCGAACCCCAGTCCCTGCACTTGCCTAAGCAGTCACTTAATTGCTGAGCTATCTCTCTGGCCCTTGTTATTCTGATGCAAACAAGTGAGAACCTCTACTGTAGATACACAGTGATGCCACAGTTTCAGTTTCCTGGGGTTAGAAAACATTACTTGGAAAATTTCAGAAAGGAGAAAAGACCATAATTTTTATTAAAATATGTTGTTTTAATTGACTTATAATATTACTAGTTGTTATTAATCTGTTGCCATGCCTAATTTGTAAATTAAACTTTATCACTATTGTGATTGTGTAGGAAAAGCATAATTTATGAAGAATTTGGTGCTATTCATGGTTTCATGCATCTGTTAGTGATCTTGGAATATATCCCTACTGGGATTACTATATATAGAATTAACTTTTAACTTTGAAGAAGTAAGCCATACTGTTAATTGTCATTTTACCAAGTTAAGCATTTCCAATACGACAGTTGTCTTTAAAATTAATCAAATAACAATATGATTTTGATTAAGCATTGGAGAATGATTATTTAAAATACCATTTAGCTTTAGAAATAGTTATAGCTCCAGCATTTTCAGTAGTGACTAATTTGAGGAGATAGGTCGTAAATGTAGTTTTAGTTATTTACAAATGAATTAATAAAGAAATGAGTTTGGCTTTAGGGTAAAACTGTCATTTTAAGATTAATTATTCAAGATGAAAAACGTTTCTGATGAAATAAGAATTAGATTTCTTTCTCCTGTCAAACTAATTATATCATTTTGTTTTTCTAATATAGATAAGTAATGGAACGTCATCTGTGATTGTCTCCAGAAAGAGACCATCAGAAGGAAACTATCAAAAAGAGAAGGACTTGTGTATTAAGTATTTTGACCAGTGGTCTGAATCAGATCAAGTGGAATTTGTGGAGCATCTTATTTCACGAATGTGTCATTACCAGCATGGACATATTAACTCTTACCTGAAGCCCATGTTGCAGCGGGATTTTATCACCGCGTTACCAGGTAACTGCTCTTGTCTTAAACAGCTGAGCAGTGGAGAAGTACTCAACCTAAGCATCTAGGTGGGGCTGAATGGGATCTTTATGAAATGCATGAATTAGTACTGTATGCAGCAGTATTTCTTTGGGACATACACTGTACTTTCAATGTACAGTATAGCATTTGAGGAATTGTAATTTAGCATTTACCTAGGAAATCAGGCCATTTGTATGATTGTTAATTATTGGTCATTACTGGTAATTTATTTAGCTTGTTTAATGTTTGCTTTTTTTAATGATACTTTTTATTTTGATGCAATCTATATATAATTAGTTTGTACTTTGCCTTTATCTGAAATTTAGAAATTACGTGGGGTATGCACAAAGTTTTGATTTTCAGACTTCAGTACTGTAAACAAAACCCAAAACACACTGAGAAAACTGGTAATGGATCTTGCTATATTAAAGAAAATCCTTTTATCAGTACATACTCGTAGTACATAGTAGTTACATTCATTATAGAGAATTTGTACATGTGCATAACACATCTCAGTTCTTTATTTTTCCCCTTCCCTCCAGCACTTATTTTGCCAGCATCAGATTCATGTGTTTACCAGGGGTCAGAAAACATAAAAGATACATAAGACAATTATAAATCAAGGCACACTTTTAGATACATTGTTAATGTTGGATAACGATTTTTTTTCTCTTTTTTTTCTTATCTATCTTTTACTTTGTACTTTAATTATATATTGAGTTCCTCATATAAGAGAAAATATGCAGTTTTTTATGAGTCTGTTTAGTTCACTTAACGTTATGGTCTCAGGTGCATCCATTTTTCTACAGATGACTCAAGTTTATCATTTTATTTTTTCTTGGGTGGCACAGTAAAATTTATGACTTCCACATAATGATGAAATACTTAAAAAGAGCAAACACTGTCAAAACGGCCATATGTAGCTTAGAAAACAGCTGGTTCCAATTCAACTATACAAATGTTCTTTCAACTTAGAAATTAATTTCATTCTTTTTAGAATAGTAGAACACAATTTCATAGGAATAAATTTGCTGAACTCTTTGCAAGTTTGATTCATTTTAGCTAACAGATCTACACATGAAGCATTAAACAGCATTAACAAATTATATTTATGTTAAGGTTTCATTTCTTTTAAATATTTACTATACTTTTTAATGTAAGGATTTCATTGATTTTAAACATGATAGCTCTGTTTGACTGAAGTATATATAGTTCTATTTGTAGCAAATATAAAAAATCTATATTTCAAAAGGTAAAAAAATGTATTTATCACATGTGAGTGTTACTGGTAGTATCACTTTTTTTTTTTTTCACTGCTAGGCAATTAAACTTTTTTTATTTTAAAGAGAAAAAAAAAACAAAAGCAAATAAAAAAAGGCAGAAACAAAGCAACATACAACAGTGCAAATGGTATAGAATTTCAGAACAAGAATAGAAAATTGACAATAGCTGTTGTTTTACGTATTGTTATCATCAAATTTGTTGCTCAGATTATAAGATATAAGTTTGCAAGATTGGTCGAACAATTAAAGATTAACTATTCCTTTCAATAAACCTTAATTTTCCTTGTCCTTCTTACACTTTATTTTAAAATTTGTTTTAAAGACTGTGCCTTCATTAGTAGTCTGCACAGAGAATAAAAATGAGCCACCACTCACAGGAAGAAAAATACTGAACATTGATTGTGACTGGAGTCCATTCCCGGCATCCAGTGCGCCTCAGATGGTGCTGCCAAGACACTACCATGATTCGCTGTCAATCGCCTTACCTAAATTCCCTCCAGTTCAAGCCCTTCCATATAGTAATGCCAGAGAATTTATCCTTTTAAACAGACTTCAGCAAGTTCTGGGTTGGTTCAGTCACTTCCAGAATACAGCTTAGTTGTGTGCAGTTGATGTTGTTTTCCCAAGAGTTATTTAGTATTATTATTATTAACAGTAGGAAGAATTTATTGATAGAAAGAAAGCTTCCGTCTGAGGAGTGTTTATTGAGCAAAGCCATGAGGTGAGAGAGGCTTAAACAGGAAAGAGCTATAGCCAATCAATAAAATTATAAGTATACAGGAGGAGCCTGGGAGAGGTGATGTGCATCTGTAATCCCAGCGCTTGGGAAGCTGAAAGCTGGAAGATCACTACAAATCTGATCTGCATAGCGAGACCCTGTTGACCCTGTACTAAATACATAAAAAGAAAAGATAAGTATACAGGAGAGTTGAAGCAATTGTACTATGAATTTCCAACAGTTTTTTTGAAAGTAGCAGTCACTGTTTAAACTTTTTACTTTGACTAAGTCTGTATGCTAATATCTGGAACCTGAGCACCTACATGAAGGACAACAATTTGCAACATAAAAACAGTTGAATACCTTCCATCTTGTTCTTTTAAACTTTTCTTCTATTGGAAAACTATCTTGAAAATCAGGAAATGTACCCCAGAGCTCCTCCTTGAAGTATAATTTGGTTGTGCACTATTATCAGTTAATATGTTCCTGCCTTCACCAAAGGTATTCCATTTTGCCTTTAAAAAAACAAAACAGGGCTGGTGAGATGGCTCAGTGGTCTAAAGCACCTACTTAGAACAAGCTAAGCAAAGCACAGGGACCCAGGTTCTATTCCCCAGCACCACATGCCAGCCAGCCCCGCCCCCTGGTGGGCTGAGCTGGCCACACACACACACACACACACACACTCTAAATAAATAAATAAATAATTTAAAAAAACATTAAAAATAAATAAACATGTTTTAAAAAATAAAAAAACAAAACAAATGAAATAACATAAATAAATAAGTCTACCTAAGGGCTTACAATAAAGGCTTCCAAATAGGAACAAAGAATATTGTGATATAATCCAGCACTGGGGAGGCTGAGACAGGAAGAACACTACGAGTCTGAACTGTATAGCGAGACCCTGTAACAAACAAAAAAATATTGTGACATAAAGCCCATCAATGCTATATAATTAAACAGTAGCTTTGGATCTTTGAGACCTGTAAACATAGCCTTCATTTTAGAATGATTTTTACCCGATGGAAAAAGATACATTTTTATTGTTCTCAATTAAAAATGAAAATATAGTGGATGCAGTTGTAAATTCTGCCTTTTAGTAATTTATGTAGGTATGTGTCATCATTAGTTTTTGACCTTTGCTTAATTGCAGAGTATAAATTTTAGGGATTAAAACAAGAGCATAATATTCTTTCAATTCTTATTGGTTTCTTGGTCTCCAGAGTGGATATTAAAGAGATCAGACTCCATAGTATTTTTGCCTTCTCTTCTTCACATCCATTGCATCCAGAACAGGCTGTCTTTTCACAGTGTATTTTTGATGAAGTTGTTCTATTTCACATTCCATCATGAGTTCCAGTGCTTTTAACTGCATCTCTAATTCTTCTAAACTTAGGTTTTTTAAAGCTCAAGTCTCCATCTTGAGGAACTTGACCAGTTATCAGGAAAAACAGATTTGGTCATATGGAAGGGATCATGCATATTAGTTTTCTTGCCTCATATTCTTGAAGTCCTGCTTATCAAAGTAGTCCATGAAGGGTGGTCTTTGCATGTTTGGTAAAGCTGCATTTCATTTCATAGTTCTGTCCTCTTCCCTCTCATCCTCACTGTTTATAACCATGGTCCCCAAGTCAGATTCTAGCATCCTGCTAGTCTGCGCTGTTATGCCCAGTCAGGGTCTGGAGACCTTCACTCATTGGGCCTATGTTCCACATCATGCTTACATGTCGTGGTGTGAAAATCCAGCTTAGCTTCATCTGAGTTTTCTTTTTCTTCTAATTCTTACTTGTGTTCTTCATGTCATTCAGCTTTGATATCCATAGTTTCTATAAATAGGTCTCTTAATAGTGATACAGGTTTTTTATTCCTGATAAAAGGATGCTGTAAAACTAGTGGTGTAATAGCTGTCTGTTCAGGATTCTTCAATAAGCACTTGTTAAATTAGTGAAATCATCAGACCAAAGTTCGGGCTTCCTGAATGTTGGTGTTGGATGGGAATCATAAAAATAGCCCTTATTGGATGTACATCAGCATAAAGAGGTTTTCCTCCAGCCATTTCTATAGAAATAATGCCAAGCAACCAGCTGTCAGCCACCACAGTGATAGTAAGTATGTTTCTTGAATTAGTTCAGGAGCCATCCAGGATGGAGTTCCTGTCACAGTATTGTGTTTTGCCATTGTATCTGTTAACTGACAAGCCACTCCAAAATCTGCCAGTTTTATATGTCCTGTGCTGCAAAGACTCTTTCAGCTTCTATATCTCTATGTATTTTTCTCATAAGGTGCAAATATTCTTATCCTTTCAGTGTAGATTTAAGAATGGTTACAATTTCATCTTTAGTAATCTACTTATATGTGAGACAGAGCCAGCTCCCCGGTGCTCCATAAGAACCTTGAAGATCTCACTCAAGAGGTACTTCTTTAATTGCAACAACTTGGCTGGATTCTTTAAAACATTTGCTTTAAAAACTCTTCTGTAAGACCCTTTTCCAAACTTCTTTAAGACATCAGAAACTTCTTCAGAATGCTTAGTCAGATTGTCTTCATTCAGCTTTTTTAGGTTACTCCTAGGTGCTGGTGGTGGCTCCATGACAGTCCAGAGCCAAAAGAGGGAATGGGTAGACCCTGAAGGCTGGAAGGATTTGAAAAGGAGCTGGGCCAGCCAAGCCTGGGTAACCGCAAGGGAAATCCAGGAACTTGGATCAACTTTGCTTCTGAATGTGACTCCTGCCCTAGTTTATCCTTTATGGCAGAGTAGCACTTGATTGTGTCTAAATACCAGTTTTTTGTTGTTTGAGACAGGGTCTCACTTGGTAGTGCAAGCTGGCGTTGAACTCACTATGTAGCCCAGACTGACCTTGAACTCACAGTGATCGTCCTGCTTCATTCAGCCTCCTGAGTGCTGAGATTATAGGCATGTGCCACCACCCCTGGCTAATACTACATGTTTTAATTCATTTGTCTGATGATGACCATATAGGCTGTTTCCAAGACTTAGCTATTATACAAACATGAGTACACACACATCACTAGGGTATGATTGTCTTTAGCTTTTGGGGGAAGATACCTAAAAGGGGAATAACTGGGTCAAATGGAATTTCTAGTTATAATTTTTGAGGAGTCTCCATACAGATTGTCATATTGGTTGTATCAGTTTACATTTCTGCCAACAATGAAGAAAGGTTCCCTTTTTCCCACAACCTCACCAGTATTGTCTTACTGATTGATTTCTTGATAATAGACATCTTTTCTGGAATGAGATGGAATAGCAGTATAGCTGACACATTTTCCCCCGTTTTGTAGGTTGTCTTTTCATGCTATTCATGGTTTTCTTTTTTTTTTCCCCCCCATGGGTTTCTTTGCAATGCAAAGCTTTTTAATTTGATGTAATCCTATTTGTTGATTCTTGAGATCTTTGACCCATTTTGATTATAACTTTGTGTGTAGTGAATGATAGGAGTCTATAGAGTCATTCTTCAGCACGTAGATAGCCAGCCAGTTTTTCCAGCACTGCTTGTTAAAGAGGCTATCTTTCTTCAAGTGAAAGAATTTGGCCCTTTTGTCAGAGATAAAATACCCGAATGTGCTTGGAATTGTTTCTACATCTGTTTAGTTCCAGTGATTCACAAGTCTGGGGTTTGTTTGTTAGTGTTTTGTTTATTTGCCAGTATGTTGTTTTTATCAGTGTAGCTTTATAGCGACTTGAATACAGGATGATGCTCCCTACCTTGTCCTTGTCCTTGTTGCCCAGAATTACTTTTCCTGTTCTAGGCTTCTTCTGGCTCCATATGAGTTTTAGAATTGCTTTCTCTACTTCTGTAAGGACGGTTATTGATATTTTGATTTGAATTACATTAAATGTGTATTACTATTTTGGAAGTATGTCTGTTTTGATTATTATTGGTTCTGTCTGTTGAAGAAGAGGGTATCTTTCCATTTTTTTACTATCTTCAATTTTTTTCAGAGTACTATAGTTTCCATTATAGAGGTCTCTTACTTCTTTGGTTAGGTTAATTCCTATTCTTAATTTCTCTTCATGCTGTTATGAAAGGCATTGCTTCCCTAATTTCACTTTTGGTGAGTTTGTTATTGGTATACAGGAATGGTATTGGTTTTTTGAATGTTGACTTAGTATTCTGTGTAGAGGGCCACAGGGATAGTTTACTATCTTTTTTTCTCCCCCTATCCATATCCCTTTTATTTTTTTCTCTTGTCTAATTGATCTATTTAGTGTTTTGAGAACTATATGGAACAGAAGTGGCAATAGCAAACATCTTGTCTGGTAACAACTTCTTTCTGGTTAGTACAATGTTGGCCATTGATTTGTCACAGATTGCTTTTATCAGGTTGAGATAAAAACCTATTTCTGTTTTTTTCAGGGTTTTAATTATGTTACATGTGTTGCAGCTTGTTTTTGCATCTGATTCCCTCACCAGCCTCACCCTCATTTCTCACACATACTCAGGCAGGCATGGTTGTACACATTCACATGCACACTTCCTTGGTTAGGTTTGTTTGGATTTTTAAAAATTTTTTGAAAAAAAAATTTTTTTTTTGAGATAAACGATTCCCCCCCCAGAACCAGGGATTGAACTCAGGCCCTTGTGCTTGCCAGGAAAGTGCTTATTCTACTGAGCCATCTCCCCGGCCCCTAATGATTTTTTAAAAAAGTTTTAAGTTCAGAACAAAATTAGATGAGAAACAGAAATTTCCCACATTCG